AAAACTTCAAGTGCATGAACAAAGAAAAATAAAAATTTAAATGGGTCTCATATAATCCATAAAAATTTCAAGACAATGACAAGCACACACATTCATCCTTCATTGCAGGTCAAGGGCCTGACATAAACATAGTTTAAGATAGAACCCCAGCCATTCAAATATGAGAGTATTGAATTTAATTCTACCAAATTCTCCCATGGTTCAGAAACAAAATATTAACATATAGTCATAGACCGGCAGTTGATATGCAACAAATTGTTATAGAGTAGATCCAGAACAGACAGCAGCATGGCAGAGAGTGCAGCCTCCCGATCTTGGTACTCAGACTGAAACCTCATGCCACTCATGATATACATGATGACATCATATTGCAAACTTAGTTAGATGTCTGAACAAACTATATCCCTTCTTCCACCAAAAATTCCCATAAATAAGAAATGAACATTGCAGGTTACACCAATGACGCTAAATTAAGCCATCAAATTAAAAAAAAATGCAGTGAGACAAGAAAATAGATGCTGCATGTTAAATGAATACCTTGCTTCCTATGTCAAACCAGTGATTTTTCTGTTTCCTAAAATATGATGGCATTCATGACGCCTAAGACAAGATTCAAAATGAGTTCGATTCACGTCAAATTAAAAAGGTATTTAGACGACCTTGCCAGGCAAAGAATTATATAACTGAAGATGCTGGAACAGATGGCTGAAGTAGACAAGCAGTCATATCTCTTAACAGAAATCCTTGTAGTATTAAAGCAATAGAAACCAACAACATTTGCTTCTGTCGTAACAATATGCACAAACTATCCAACCCTATGTACCCAAATAAAAAAAAAAAAGAGAGAAAAAATATCCAGCTCTTAACAAACTAGAGTGACGAGAATTACCTGTTGATCATCATCATTCTCTGCATGGGTTATTCCAAGCAACCTCCAACCTTCAGCATTCTCAGGATTTTTCATAACTTCAGCCTCTAAAGCAAGCACTGCTTCACTCAAAAGCCCTTTTCTGAATAGCTCTTGACCTTCTTTTAAGGGATTTGGATGACCAACATATGGATTCATATCAGAAAATACATAGACACCCCTTGAAGCATCTGACCGCTGCTTAGCAGCTACTTGCTCATTAAGGAACCTACAAGTTCTCACCACGAACACATTCAAGAAGATATTTTGTGATTTAGATACAGACAGAACAAACAAATTAAAAGAAAGTTCAAACTTCAGAAAGTAATTTTCCTCAAGGTTAGCAGAGTTACTCATCATATGCATTTGCCCAGTTATCAGACGAACTATCTCCCAAAGCCCCTTCGCCAACTTGACGTCCAAATTCTTCTGCCCAGTCATCAACATGCAACTTTGAGAATTCATTGACCCATTGATCATCTACAGGCTCTTGCTCACGTTCAGTGGCAAACTCATTGACCCATTGGGCTGGTCCATGGGAAACCTAAGAACCATCAAATCAAGTAGAACATTCCATAAAATGAAGAAAATTGATTATTTCATATAAAACAAATGGTTCAGATGGTTTAAGAGCTTCAATATATATACATATATATATACACACACACATATATATATAGTACTAGGCAGAATCATCAGTCATAGTTTGCTTCCTGAATTACCATACATAATCAAAAGACTCTAGTTCTTCTCAAACATTAGCAAACTAATTGGCCATTAGGTCAGATCCAAGAAAACCAAAGAACCACCAAAGAGATTAGCAGATTCTGTTAAATAAGGAAATTTGATTGCTTCATATGATATTAAGACATTTCAAGTTGGTTTAAAAATCTTGATAAAAATAGTATTACAAAAATCATTGGTCACAGTTTGTTTCATAACTTATTACACATAATCAACAGCCTCTTGCTGCACAATTCAATATGGATAATTATCATCAGTCAGAGTCGTTGTCCTAGAATTAGAAATATAGATATAGTACTAAAAAAACCACCATTATTGTGGAGATTCTCAAATTATCAAACCCTTGTTTCAACTGCCTAAGGCTGGTGATATTAATCCCATTTTACTCTAGGAAAGACAAAGAGCAAGAAGAGACAGAGGCAAGCATTAAAAGGATTTCATCAACTGATTAACGGGTTCATATCAATCTAGCTTTCACTACATATTTAATCGGTGCTTTATGTATAAGCAGTAAACATGTCAAGCGACACCAAAACACGCGAGCTTGACTTCAAAAATGCAAAACAAGAAGAAACAAACATTCAACTTTCTAAGCTTTCACTGAATCTCTACTTGCCTCATCATGAACAAACTCATCAGCCCAAGAAGCACCTCCATTGAACTGTTGTTGATATTCTGTTGCCCAGCTCCCTGATGCTGGTTTGACTTGATTATCATGAATAATAAGTTCACCACGACTCATCTTTGACACAAATTGAAGAAACTTTGAATTCTGCATGCCCCAAAAACATACATAACATAACATAAGTGCATAAACTCACACACCTAAGTAAAGATAGTTGACTGCTAAATCATGCACAGCAATGATGATATTATTAAGAGCTATCTTGAGAAATTTGCATATATTTAGTCAGCCAGTTATACATAACCTGAAATTTAGGATCATCATTTTGAGAGAGTGTACGTGCAAGCATACGAGTCTGCTCAATTGCAGCCAAGTTTGCGATATTCCCCCCTCTCATTTGATCTGCTAATGTCAACTGGGCTTGTTCCTGTATGTAGTAGTTGATTAATCGTATTATAAAAGTAAAGCAGGTTAAAGACAAGGCACACATAGAGAATACTAGAAGCACAAGATAGTAAGAGATAGATAAGAAAGCCAAAGTCAAATTGGAACTTATATCCATCTTCAATAGCACAAAAAAAAAATAGAAAAATTGTTAGAAAGATAAGAAATAGGATAGCTAAATGATGAAGACCATCAAGTGTTTGATAGTAATTGCCAGCAATATACCAGTTTATGAGAGAACAAAAGTTTTATGAGAGAACAAAATTTTCAATTTGGTTATTACAAGAACCTACGCATCAACTTCACTTTAAAAAACAAGTTTTATTTTGCTAGAAAAATGGATCCATGCAGTCAAGCAAGCAGCAACTGGTAGCTTATCATCCACTGTACTCTAAAGATTAATAATCATTGTCCATTTTATGTAAAGGAGATGGTGCTCCCTACCTGCTCAAATTCAGAGGCCCAACCACCAGCACCATGCTGTTGTTCAAATGAGTGAGCCCAAGCATCAGGATCACCATGTTGTGCTCTATGTTGGCTGAATTCAGTTACCCATCCATCTGCAGCATGAGCACCAGGCTTCAGGATTCCTTGGGATTCATTCCAGTAGTCCTCCAGCTCTCTAAATCTCCCAGGCATGGGTCCCTTGGCATGGATATCACTGTCTATTTCTAAGGAACTCAAGAGCGCATTTACCTGGAAAATGAAGTTTTGGAAGATTCAGAAGTGAGCAAAAGACATAATACCAACCAATGAGATACAAGAAATTAAGTGTCAAATCCAAAGTGTAATTTTATAACAGATAACACTACGTAGCTCTCATCAAACAAAGGACAGCCAACCTGAGCATTAATAAATTCTTCACTCTTATCAGCAAAAAAGTGCCGGGCCATTATGCTGCTACGATCACGTATGCACTGTTTATCACCTTGAGATAATCCTAACAGCGGCAGTGCAGTGGGATGTAAAGGAATTCCACTGCGGCTACTGTCAACAAATGAGTGTAGAAAGCTTGACAGCACCCTTTGAGGTGGTCCTGGATATTAGTCAATAGCACTTGTGTTACTAGAATATTAGATTTTGTTTTCTTTTCCGCCGAATAAAATGGAAAGAGATTAGAACAGTAACGAAGATGGAAGGGTAGAATACCATCGAGAGTGGGCTGAATTGGGGGAGTCGGTGCAGCAGTGTAAACGCGGTCGAGGTGAGTTTGACGCTGTATCTCGTCCCATGCATCTGCGAGTCCATTGTCATCGGCAGTGCGGAAGCCCCTGATGAAGTCAGAACCCTGAAGGTATTTTTTTAGGAAAAAAAAAAAGAAAGAAAAGAGTCAGCGGAAATTTGCAACTTAAATTAGAAAATTTTATAAATATTAAAACGTGAAGAGGAACCTGAGCGTTAGATTGGAGAAAGGGGTGGTCGAGCTCAGAGCCAGGAAGAGCAGCAACAGGATCATCGTAGAATTGGGTGTGGGAAGTGGCAGCTGCTGCGTTAGGAATCTCCTTGAGTCTCTCCTGCTTATACATATATTGAAATTAATATAAAAGAAGAGAGGAATAATAATAATAATAATAATAACAATACAGAAAAAAGACCTGGGTCTTGGAAGAGGAGCCGACAAGAGCGTTGGCGAGAGCACCTAGAGGATTAGAGGAAGAGGAAGAAGACCCAGGAACGGCGCAAGCAGCTCCTCCTGTTACCAGATCACGCATCGACATCCCTTTTTCCCCTGATAGAGGGAATATTTGTTTAAGAGGAAAGAAAGAAAGAAATAGAAGGGTTAAGGTGAGAGACGAGCTCCGTCCACGGAACCAGCGGTTGCCGTGTCAACTGGCTCGCCTCTCCCCTCCTCTAATTTATTTTATTTTATGTAAAAGTTTAATAATTACGTAATACAATTTATTTATTTTTAATATTAATTAGGGTGGTGCTTGTTTGCAATACAAGCATTCCGATGAATTGCTGCTAATACTACTAGAGTCCTTTTCCTCTGTTTCTCTTCACACACTTTTAGGCAAAATGTTGCCCCAGGTCAATGTGATCACGTCTCCAGCCTCTCTTACTAATGGACATGGTCGGGCGAGCCCATTGTACAACCCCCTCAGCCCTTCCTTTTACCAGACTTTATGAAATCCACAAAAGCCCATTATCATTTCCCTTATCTTGGTTGACTTGACAATACCATTCATTCTTATCACATAAATAGATGCTCAAGGAAACATATATTTCTCATTCCACACACTCTTCCCACCTTGATAGTTGCATATATTTCACAATACATAATCAGCAAGAAATAAAGCTCCCTTCATTAATTCAACACCATAAATGCATTATACAAAATATGCACCACTTGGAACTTGGAACTTGGAACGTCCCTCCCTATAGATTAACAACAACTACTACTACAACTACTACTTAAATTAGCTTACACTTTCAAACACTGCAAACACAAACACCATCACCAATCTCTCCACCCATAAATCTAAATTACTAATAAATAATAACAACAAAAGGCATACCATCTATCTCTCTCAATCAATTCAACCCCCCCTTCCCCCCTTCCCATCAGAAGCACCTATGTGCTATGCACAACACAATGTAACAAAACAGTTGCGCCCACGAGGGTCCTTCAAAATTGGCAACATTCAGATGAAAGCAGTCCGCCCACCCCTTCGACTATGCCTATCATATGCAGTGTTGAATTTGTCGACTAGCTCATTCATTGTGCTGCAAAACAAATATATATGTAAGAAGAAGAACAACAATAACGGGGAGGAAGAGGGATATCACTTTAGCAATATTATGCATATCTAATCTAATAAAGCACCCAAAACAGAACACGATAAACCCATCACTTCCTTACACCAAAAGCATACCAAAACACTTACCTTGAGCAGTTAGTGAACATTGCAAGATAAGTAATCAATAACGTGTCATTATATTCCTGTGAATATTAAAAAAGTCAAAAAAAAAGAGTATGTCAGTGCTTAAATCAATCAAAGGGTGAAAATTCAGCTTAGTCATTTAATTCATCTCCGGATTAAAGATAAATAGGCCAATCCTCAAAAAGAAACAATCACCAAATCCATAAGAATGCAAATATTTAAAGTAGGAACCAATTAAACCTATACCACTATATTATATGCAGATTATGCGAATTTTTAAAGTGCAGAGATCTACATTTCTATTTCCAACACACATTCGCTAACTAGCATGACAAATATCTTTGGTTTGTTACTATGGCATCATAAAGCAACAACCATCCTCTTCAAGTCTTTCTAACAAGCTGTCATCAAACACCAGTTTTAGTAGATCCCAGTACCATAATATGATCTTCACATATGGAATTTGGTGGCCACAAGAACTGGTACTTTGGCATTGACAAGTTGAGGGCATGGTTGACATTTTGAAATACCACAACAAAAAGTAGGCTAGAAAACCCAAATCATCCCCAGAAGAAGAGATAGAGAACAGCTCAACCTTCTTACCACAGTTAACTGTCTTAATCAATACTATGGGTAATTGCACAGCTACCCATTTTTAGACTACACAAAATAAAAAAAATAAAAAAATAAAAAAAGCTCACCATCAGAAAGTCATCTTGAAATTTTTCTGATTCAATGGCAGGTAACCTTCTGAGGAGGCTTGATACTTGCCTTAATAGTGAATTTTCACAAGGAATATCACCTGAATATAGGGAACAAATTCTATTAATATTGATTCATGTCCTTCTGATCCACAATAGCCCAAACAATAGTGAAACTTTGTCATGGCATAACCTTTAAAAGTAATATATACAACATCCAATGGCAAATCAGAAATGACTGATCAAAAGTCATAAAGACAATAAAAAATGGTAACATCTATAACTATAAACAATGCAGGACAATTTATTAAATCTAGGCTCCAAAACTTATAGACAAAATGGAAAGTTATAACTTAAGATGCTTAATTTGAAGTATTTCCCACGTCTGGAGCTTTTATCTACACTCTAAACTATAAATATAGGTTTCTTTCCTTGAAGAGAAGTCGAACGACCTTTCAAATGTTCACAAGCATTCTGAATGAATTAAATTTGTATTAGATTCAGAAGGAATGGGCATATACCTTTTTGCATTCCAACAAGATAGTGATGAAGCACCCTGATTCTGCTATTCAACATCTTGATGGCACTATGTATACCAGTAAGATGAGCAGCCACTAGATGCAGGAAAAACACACAAAGACAGACAAAAACAATTCATTGGTAATCATCAAATACAGAAAATAAAAGGCTTCCATCAAATAGGAATTTCACTTCAACAGAAAATCCTAGGTAAAAGGAAGAGAATCAAGCAGGCTTACACTGAGTTGCTGCTGAACCTCCATCAGATGGCTTTAGATGGGCAACATGATCGACAGAGATCCTTTCTGCTTCAACTGTCTGTAAAGCCCAGAAAGAAAAATAAAAAGCAATCTCAGCTATGCCAGTTGGTGAAAATTAAAAGAAAACTGGGTAGAAAAGAATGAAAAGTATGAACCTCAATTGTGTAGCTTGAACGGACAAAAATAAGCTGCGGAATCCCATCTATGACGTGCAGCTCTTTTAAGTTGTAATGATCAACAACAAGAGAAATTGAAAATGTTATTGTCAAAGAATAATTAGGAACTGTAATGGTTATGACAATCACCTAAAACTTCAGAAAAGACAATATGAGAAAAGATTTTGAATGCGTGTGTGTGTGTGTGTTCATCTCCTTATCAGAATGCACAACAAGCATGTTGACTTCCATTAATAGGGATAAATATTATTGGTAACATTTTCTATTCAACACAAATGGTCAGAAATTACTTATGGGGCAAGAGGATGAATTGATCATTCCAAGATGATTTTATTTAATAAAAAAAAAGTTATCACAAGAGGACCAAATTAGCAAACAAAAAGAGTGCGTAAAAATCTCATGTTGTTGGCGAACAAAGCATTCTCCAACAATAATGAAACAATGAATCACATGGAAACCTGATCAACTGAACTCAACTAGTCTTTAAATCTTAACATATTGTATAATGTCACATAGCATACCTCCTTGCAAAAATTTAGAGTCAGAATAAGAGAGGATACGTATTGATTAATATAAGAGAATGCAATAAAGATAAAACGCTGCATACCACTTTCATAAATAGTGACCGGAAGATCTTTTTGGGCATGATTGATTGAAGGATTGAGAAGCACATAGAGTGGGCTTTCATTGATGTCCATCAACTGTAAAAAAGGAACAAGAGGATATTTTTATTCAAATGCATTACATAAAGAGGAAGATTCAATCAAGTATTGTAGTATCATGGTTCCTTTGGTAGGTAGACGTTATAAATAGAAATGGAAAGCATGTGAACTTGCTAAAATATTATCATTATATGTGAAGCTATCCCTTTTCTCTCATCATCCTCGCCCTCATCATCACAATATTCTCTATTAGATCAATCAAATACCACCACGCATCAAATTATCAATTATTGATATTAGATGTAATAATAATGGAGAAGCAATGCTTGCATTGCAGAATTGCAACAACAGTCACAGCCAAGAAATATGAGCAGAAAAGTGAGGCTTTCTAGCAATGCTGATCAAAGACAGATTCAGAATCTATTAAATACGTAATGTAGAGGATTAGAAAAGTGACAGCCCCAAGAAAGAAGAAGGGAGAAATGGTGGAGAAACATACGGCTTTATGGATGTACATATCGGATTCTTGGGCATCGCTCCCAGTGGAGTACCATCCAAGAATATAAAAGTTAGGGAAAACCTTCTTATCTGGAAAAGGAATAGACAGAGAAATATTATTCGAGGGACAAATAAACCAATAAAATAAAAAGAATGAAATAGAATCATACAAAGCTCTTGCTTCTTCTCAAGGAAGGGGCGGTCGAGGGAGTGGGTGGAGGGATCGTAAAGAAGCTCGAAGCTGTTAAAGATCTCGACGGTGCGACCCCTCTGGACCCCTATGACGCAACCGTAGACTCGAGGGGCTTGCTGATGATGTTCAACGCCGTTGGTGTTGTTGTTAATGACGGTGGCGGAGGAAGAGGTGGATGTGAGGGGAGGGTTCATCTGGGACTTGACACGAGTGTAGTGATCCGATATGTTTACGATTACAAGGGGATGCAGCTTGAAGGTTAGGCCACTGCTCGACGATGACGCCATTCTTTGCTTTTACTTTATGATGCTTCTGCTGCTATTGAATTTGATTTTAGCAATTGCCAGGGAAAGGGTTGGCTTGGAGAATCGCCTTTGTAATTGTATTTGTAGGCCTGCGGGTTGCTGCTACCAACCCATTGGATATTGAGCTCAAGTCCGCATTCTCAAACCACTTTTATGCTTAGGCTCAGCCCACCCAATAAATATAAATGGGCTAATCTCCCACCCGCTTGGTTGCTAGCCATCCTCATTCAGTAAGACATGGTTATCCCTTTTTTTTTTCCTTTGAAAGGTAGTCTGCCATGGTTATCTTGCCAAAAAACACACTGCCATTCCTTCATCTGCTCTCTTACAATACTAAATACCTAGCAGCTTGTTTGATGGAACCTAAAATTTGGCAAGCTCTTCATAAATAAATGCACAAGATAAGTACTAATGAAAGTACAATGCAGTCATAATTTAACACAGTTACATTGTATTTTATTGGTACATAAATACATTATATTTATCCTGCTTCCCATTTAGGATGCGTAACTTTGGTCCCCAATGAGGGGAATTTGTAATCTTAACCAAGAATTTGAAGTTCAATGAACATTGCACATTCAACAATACAACTGCAATTGTACCCATTGCTAAAACATGTTAAACAAGAAAAATCCCCATGTCCAACTTATTAGCCCATCCTTCTGACAACTTACATTCAGGATGATATCAGTGACTAACAACTCAGTCCCCCCCTTATTGCCTTGCTGGCTACCGCTTTAGATAGACAGTTCCATTTTTGAGATAAGAATGCCATCACTATCAGCATACAACCATTCCCCATCACGAATTAAGTTTCCTGCAATGCAAACTGGGACATGCTTGTCTCCAACAGCCTTTTTATTTGATTTCAGGGGATTAGATCCCAGTGCTCGCACGCCAATATCACATGCATTGATCTCATCCACATCTCTAATGCAGCCATTTACAACGATACCAGCCCACCCCATGTTTTGAGCTGACTGTGCCAAATTCCCTCCAACCAAAGCACATCTTGTGCTTCCCCCACCATCTATAACCAGAACTCTTCCTTCACCTCTGGTTTCAAGAAGCTGCCTTACCAACACATTGTCCTCAAACACCTTAAGTGTTACAATGGGTCCTGAGAATGCACGACGCTGACCATAGATCTTAAAGATTGGTTCTAGCGCACGCAGGTCACCACTTGCCAAAAGTGCTGTGTTTGAATCACAAGCCTCAGCAGTTGCAAAGGCAGCCATATGTTCCCTGCAGGGACAGGAATCGAAAAAGTCAGAAAGATGTCAACATAAATAACGACTGCACAAGGGAAGCTCATCTAGATTTTCTGCACTTTGAAATATTAAATACATATTTTAGGGCCTATTCAGTTTGTTTGCAGACTAAAACAATCAATGAATAAAAAATGGAGGCAAAGAAGAATCATAAATAATACATAAATTAACTACATTATAGAGCACATCCTTTAAACTCTTTCCCATGCTGTCATTGAGCACACAGCCAAAAAAGTTAAAAAGCAAAGCTGTCAAAACATAATTGTTGCTCCTCTTCAAATTCCCCCATCAACCCCAATCTTTCCTCCCTTTCATCTATAATTAGCAGCTAAGGCATCCTACTGAAGTAATTAGCAGAAACTCTGTACTCCAGATGGTAGAGCATTTGGTTTTTAAGCACCAACAAAAACAGACAGCCACAAAGTTCAGTATGTAGTGATGATCAATGCATTAGTCATATGCTTTATGTTGGCTTCAACAATACATAGTTGCATGTCTACTGTACCTCTTGCTGCTTGATGAACTGACTAAGCAATTGTAAAACTAAGGGCCTACGACAGTATCAGTTCACCCGACCATTTACAACATTAATGCCATGAGCAATATTTTCACTCGTCAATGAATGGTGCCGATCTAACATTATGGAAAAGGAGCAAAGGAATAAGCGACAATAGCTCAAAATTCAATACAGAAGAAAAAATTATGGCAATTTGTAACATCCAGGATAAACATTAGAGCAGAAGACAAGCCACAAAAAAAAAAAGACACGCCCATGCAAATATGCCAGCAAATTAATCCAATTACACCTTGAAATCAATGAGATCAAGTATATCATCAAGATTTTATGATATACCTGATAAACTCCAATGAAGTTTACCAAATTAAGAATCTGGTAAACATAATATTCTAAGGTAAGTACTTAGCCCTCATCGGAAAACGATCTCAAAAATAAGTGAGCTACAAAAAAGACATAAGCATTTTGTTTGCCAAACAGAAAAGATAGATCATTTAGGTACAGATTGTTGTTTACTTATTATTTGCTTTTTCATTTCAAAGCAAATTTGGATAAAAAAGAAAGATTTTTGAAAAAAAATAAAAATATAATCTTTCGTGAAAAACAAAATACGTGATCAAGATTAAATTGAAAAATCCAAATCAATATATTGAAAGACCTCATTCATAGATTTATCAATTTTGAAGTAATTTTATTGAAAATTATGAGAAAGTTGTCACTTTCAATAAATATTGATCAAATTTTTGTGTATAAATACTATTTTAATTAACTTTTTACATATTATTGTTCTTCTCGTTGAACTCTATCCATCTATCAACTTTAATTTTTAAAATTTATTTCTTATTTGATCCATCTTCAACTTGAACTAAAAGGAAAAAAAACCATTAGTGAATAAACAACGACAACGTAATATATAATATTCTAGGTCAGTCAGCAGTTTCAGTTAGCAGGCGATGTAAACAGCTAGTACTCGTATATATCGATCAGAAGGAGAAGACAAGCCAGCCAGCTGTGCTAAAACCTCTAAATCCAACTATAAATCGGGCTGAAGCATCATAAAACAGAAACAGATACGGAAGAAAGGTAGAGAATCAAATGAAGTTAATTACCAGTGTCAACGGGGCAGGGGGCGAGTGTCGAGAAAGAAGGCAACAGCAGACTTATCAGAATTTGCGCCCGGGTCTGACGAGGGGGCAGTTGGCAATTGGGGTCTAGGCTTCTCTTTTATGTGCCGCTGCTGATTTGCTTCATATGTATATGTTGACTCTATTCTGTAGGTAGAAGCCTGGGAAGCTGAAACAAGCAGACACAGAGGAATAGGATGGAAGAAGAAAAGCGGAAGATGATAGCTTCCTAGTTATCTGTGCCTCTCGCCGACATGTCTGCACTATCACTGGGAAACATCAGGTTGGGTTATCGTCTGGCCCAGAATATTTCTTTTGGGCCCATTTGCCGAAATACCAGATGGACCTCACTTAGCATAAGACAACCAGAGGCCTCGTTCCCTTTTCTCCTTCTTCTTGTTCTTGTCTAACGCAATTTTCCAAGCTTGAAATTGATTGTAACACATGGATTCGATGTTGAGAGCGACTTTATGTCGCGTGCTTTGAATTAGTACTTTTGTTTTCGTCCATTCACTATTAGTTTAAACCTTGGCCTGTTTTCTTGATACTCGCAAGACTGTATACCTAATCCAGCACAGCAGCCTCTGACACCCTTTGACTTGGTCGTATGTATGGTATAGAATGGCGGAAGCACCCCAGTTTGAGCTTCTTCTGCCGTCGCTTGTCTTGGTACATGTCCTCCAATTAAGCAAGATAGCATGAGAAAGACAAAGTAAGGACTGAAGCAAAGCATGAAGAAAAAAGGAGGTATTCACTAATTGCTCAAGTAATTGGAAAATGTAATGTAATGTAATCTAAAGCGTGACTTGATGTTTCCTTGGTTTGGACAAAGTAAGTGATTTGATTTTCATCCGTCCGGAGTAGCGTTGTTTAATGATATACCTAGGTAGCGTATGTATATTTGTAAATGATTTGGTAAAAGTATGTTATGACTTAAGAAAATAGACGACCACGCAACGCAACGCAACGCAACGCAACTGCTCTGAAGAAAATAGGGTATAATTTGTTGATGGAAGCTATCGCTTGCAAAATGTAAAAGAGAGAAAAAGCCTGAATTAAGTCACATACATATGGGTTGGTTGGTGGGTAGGTAGGTCTACGGATGAAAAAGATTTTGCCCGTAAAGCAGATGTGGTACTGCTGGTGTCTGCTAATTACACGCTCTTTTCCTTTTTGTTTAGTTTTCCTTTTTTTACTTTACCAATCAATCAGCTCACTGTTACAAGTGGAGCTGCAAAGTCTCCACTGCTTAGATCTCTCAAGATTCGGCTTTTTTTACTTATTTGTTGGGAGTTGATGGCCTTTGCTTTGAACACGGAAGCGAGCAATGTGAATGTGTATTATATACGTATAATACAATATTCTCTGGTGGCTCTAATTACCGCATCTATATATGATTCTGCTCTTGTATTTGAACCCTAAAAAAAAAAAGGTTAGAGTGAAATAGGCAAAGGTTGGTAGATAAATTAATGTTTGAGTTATGAAAGAAAAACCCTAGGTTGTGATAAATAGACATGGAGTGGCGTGCACATGTGGAAGAAATTAAAACGTCTTTTTTAAGCTAATTACCAAGCAAGTAGTATATATGATGACAGGGATAGGGAGGTTAGGACACGTTTTAGGAGAGCAAAAAGTTGTTTGTCACAAAAGTCAAATATTTGGGTCTCTGCTCTGCTCCACATTTATTTATCATACATGAACATTCAAATTTGAAATTGAAATTGAAATTTGATTTTTTAGTTCAATTAAATTCAACACCCGGCTGGCTTTGGTTTGGTGTGGGCCCATTACACACACTTTATTCATAACAAAACAAGAAAACCATAATCGAAACAAGGGAGGGACACATTAGCCTGGTTTCTTGGCGAGGATTCCGCTGTTTTCTACTCAAACGCTTTAGGTTTTTTAATCACATGCTCATCAACATGCTCCAATTCTAATATTGAATATTAATTTTACTAATTGAGTTAAAACCCGTCCACTGTACATGTCATTCCCAGAAAAACCATTGGATAATAATGTTATGGTATACTAGTAGTGTAAACAGTCAATTAGAAAAAGAGTCCCTCTCCCTCTGCCTCCGGTTTTCCATTAAAGAAACAAGCAAAACGAAAAAGGAGCCCCTGACAAGAGGAAGACGGTGAGCTCCGCTCGTGTGCAGTGCAAACTGACAAAAATAAATTAAAAGCACTGACCAACAATTTCATTTCAATTTGGCAGATAGCAATACCTTGATGAGATAAACAACTTGAGAGATCCAAAACCCTAGGCCCCGCGCCCCGCGCCTCACACCATCTTTTAATAAATGGATGCTATTACTATACCATTTTGAATGATACCCACTACTTTCCCATCAAATTATAATATTGTCTCTTCCCATTGCATATTTACATCCAATTCAAGGATTCTCTCGACGTTTCCTATTATTCCTCTTACTTTTGTATTCCTATAATGTTTCTTTCAATATCAATGATGTAACAATGAAGTGCAGGTTCATCTTAATACTACTAGCACCTTTCACCTAAACACCCATGTCTTCTTCTTCTTTTGTTTTAAATTTTGGATTTATCTTACCAAACCCTAGCTGCTGCCTGCCTGGATGGATAAATAGCTAGCTAGGTTTTTCATTTCCCATACTAATAATTCATTATTCAACCTTTCAACAGCTACCACTTATAGTATATATCTTGGATTCACAGTCCCTCAAATCTAGCCAGTTTACCCTCTCTCTCTCTCTCTCTTCCTTCTCTCTCTCTCTCTCTCTATTGATAACACAATTCAAAAGCAATAGTTAATTACTATTATAGTGAAGAATGCACCTCAAAGAGGTTGCACTTGCACTCAGAAAGTGAAAAAGTGGTTGTATTATTTACAACTAGCGAGTAACTTGATCCCTTTAATCACAAGCATATATAGCCCTAACCTTTTCAGGAAACAAATTAACTAATCAGCTGCTTTTTTTATTTTTTCTAACAAGAAGTAGAAGAAGAAGATATTATCCACATATCATGACAGACAGACAGCTATCAAAGAATAATTAACTAGGTATTTTACATTTTCACACTGCTTATATCCAAGAAGAACAAACAAATGACAATATTTAACTGCACAAGTAAAATAAAAATGGTTGGACTCCAATTCTTGATGCCATGTTTACTGTTTTGCTTGTGTTATTTATGGGATATGAATACGCACTGTCCATTTCTTGCTGACTGTAATTAATGCAGGATATTTCTTTTCTACCAACTTAAGCTCATTTATAGCCTTCTTACACTTGGTTGTAATTAATGGTTGAAGAGGCAAATGCCTTCTTCTCTCTTAACAAAAATAATAAAAAAAGGACTAAGTTTAGCCTAGGGCAAATTAAGAGTGTGTCCCAAATGGCCTGCTGCTCAGCTAGTGTCCTCTGCCCTGTTGGGTTAAAGAGTTACAGTTTTGTATTGAAGAAAGAAAATGAATTTGGAGTGTTTTTTGATTTTTGGAATCTTATACTACATAACTAAGAGATGGTAATTTAGAACCATGACTACTCCCCCTCTCATGGGACATTTGTATCTTGTTTTTTTTTTTTTGGTCTCTTTTTTATATTATTTCTCCACAGAAAATTTTGGCATGATAATTTACCCTTATATAGTACTGTACGAAGAAGATGTAAGTCTTAAATGAAATAGAAAAAGAAAGAAAGTGACAAAGAGAGACGTACGTGCGGGGCAATTCAGAAGGGAGGCCCCAGAAAAAGGCCGAGTTTGGGAGAATCAAAAATAAATCAAAAGTTTGACTGGACCCAAAGAAAACAGAACACAAGGGAAAGAATAATGCCAAATGGGGAGGCATCACTCATTCAATTCCCACAAATCACTCTTTCTCTGTTGCACCTCAACCCCTCAACTTGTTCTCTCTCTACTCTATTCTATTCTCTTCTCTACTACTTTGCCAGTCCCACTTTACTTAACTCGGTGTTCCTAGGTTATGCCTGCCAAATTTCTCCCTCACTGTTCTCTGTTTCAACCAAGTTGGTGCAACTACACCAGCTGCTGAATGCTGGTAGCAGTGTTCGGCTTCTATAGTTTCCTGCAATTGCTTCTTTCTTAGTTGTTTTCTTTTGCTCAAAGAGCTGTTTCTTTTCCCTTTTATGGTATCTCTCTCTGTCTACTTGTCCATAGTCTAAGACCTTATCCCCTCGTGGAATCTAAAAAATGTTACAACTAAGTACTTATTAGTTGTTCTGAGTTCTGGGGCCGACATCTCTGAACATCGTACCCGCCGTCTGTTTCCTTAACGGACTATGATTTTGGACCTGCCTGTCCTTGTTACATCACCACTCCCACCTTCCTGGCTCCAGGTACTTGTGTCCTCTTTTCGTCGCTCTCATTACTGCTCAATTTTCGCCCATTTTTTCTTCTCTCCTCCTCCTCCTCCTCCATCTTTAATACTTACGGTGAATTGGTGATTGTTTGCCGTTCTATGTTTTGATTTTTAAATTTTCAGTATGCCATGTTTAGTTTGTCTTTGATGGCGATTTCCACTAACAATTTTTTAATGCTTATTATTTCTTTTTATTTTATTTGTTTTCTCCCTCAAGTTCCAGCTCTCCAAGCAAACTGCTATCTGCTGTTAAGAAATGTCGGAGAAAATTGGATTGGCAAGAGATCTAAAAGTGAAGTGAAAAAGAGTCTGCATAGAAGAGAATCGCCGAGAAATGATCCACGACGTATTCTATGATTACTTTCTGCTTGTTTGCAAAAGCACAGAAAGATTGAGAGAGAAGTAGCTAGAAGCCCATCCAAAAAGATTTTCTTGAGAAGTAAAACCAATCTGAGATACTCAATAGAAGGCGCCTTTTAATATATATGACAGCCTCAGCGCCATTCCCCTGATGTAAATCTCGGCACAGGAAGGGAAAGTAATATTCCGGGGAAAAAGAAAATGAAGAAATTATGGAGGGTAATGCTATGCTCATCATCACAAGAACAAGGCTTGACTGGAATCTTTGGTTTATTGTTGTTGCTTCTATTCCACCATCTACTCATGCGGGCAGAAGCTAAACAACTGGTTTCAGGGCAAAAGCAAAGCAATGATGAGGTGATCAAGTTGATGGCTTTCAAGCGCTTCTCTGTTACCTCTGATCCTCATGGTGCCTTAGCCAACTGGACTGATGATTCTCCCGGCCCCTGCTCATGGCGTGGCGTCTCCTGCTCTCCTGATGGCCGTGTTGCTGCTCTGAACCTCAGTTATGCAGGCCTCGTTGGTGGCCTGCACCTCCCTAACCTTACAGCCTTGTCTGCTCTTCGTGATCTATATTTGCAAGGAAATTCATTTTCTGCTGCTGATCTTT